GGCATCCAAGAGACCTCTGGCCCTTTTGTTTGCCCTCCTCCTCCTTCTGTTCCGTCTTCTTCCTCCTACCCCTTTTTGTCCTCCTCTTCCTCCTCCCCTTCCTCATCATCATCATCATCATCATCATCACCATCATCATCATCATCATCATCATCATCATCATCATCGTCATCATCATCATCATCATCATCATCATCATGATCATCCTCATCCTCATCATCCGCATCATCCTGATTATGATCCTGATCCTCATCATCATCATCCTCATATTCATCAAAATAATCTTCATCACATCCATCATCATTGGCATCAACATCAGCATCAACATCAACATCAACATCCGCATCATAATCAGCAGCATCATCATCATCACCATCATCAACATCATCATCGTCATCATCATAACCATCACCATCATCAGCACCAGCATCATCATCATCCGCATCATCATCATCATCATCATCAAATTAATAGTCATTATTCCCAGCCCCTCATCCATCCATCCAGCCTCCTCCTTCTCCTCCTCCCTCCTTCGCACGGTTCGGCCGTCCACCTCTTTGCTCCAGCATTCCCCTGACCACCTCAACCCGCCTGGACATAGTTTCCGGATGGGCTGGCGGGGCTACTTGTTTGGGTACGAGGGCTCGCGAAGTGGGTCGAAAGCCGGGCAAAGCCAGGTCGGGCCGCGCCGCCAACTGGTGGGGATGCGACACGATGCGACCACCGTTGCGGGCAGCGCCTGGGCCTACTCAAGACCGGGTTGGCAAGGCCGTGGCCTCGGGAATCTGGCGTGTCTGGACAACAGACGATGCGAGACTAATGCGCAAACAAAATGAGAGGCAAATGCGCAAACTGGTGGGGATACTTGTTTGATTTGCGGCCCGCAAGGAAAAGTCCAGAGGGCGTGTCAATAGGCAACGGGGCGCAATGCCAGATAATTAGGGATGCAGAAGACCACTGGGCGAATGCCAGCGGAAGCCAACGAGGAGACGCCCTGACGGCGCCAGCTCGCAAGCGGAGCTGCCAAGAACTGTCGGCAGACTGCGCACAGGGCCAGTACCCACAGGTGGGGAAACCAGACCAGCGGCCACTGGTGGGGATACTCGACGCGATTAGAGTCCCGGTGAAGCCGCGCTCTCTCTTTGCATCGGCGCCTCAACTCTCTCCCTATAGCGTGCGGGGCGCGCCACGGGCGACGCCCGAGGCCCCACCGGGGGGGACTGGCACCGATCCACGAGATCCGCCCAGGCCTCAGCCATCCGACCCGAGGAAGCCGATCCCCAAGGAGTCCTGCTTGTGCCTTGTGATCTTCGGCTCCTGCCCTCAGAGCCCCGGTGCGTGCGCGCATGGACAGGGCAGGGCCTGCGTCATGCACCGCACGGGCGCTGCAGGGGGGGGACGAGACGCCCAATATCCTCGACAGGCGGAACACTGCACGCGCGGAATCATACTCGGCCTGGTGCTCACCGGGCGGACGCCGAAATTGGAAAGATGGGACCTGGAGTCAGAGAAGGATGGATCGCATGTAAGATGGGCCCAGTTTCCACCGCCACTACCACAGCACGGAGGAGAGGGGAGGATGGGGAGATCCTCCTCCTCCTCCTCCTCCTCCTCCTCCTCCTCCTCCTCCTCCTCCTCCTCCTCCTCCTCCCCCCCCCCTCCTACCTATGGTAGTGGTGGTGGAAAATCGGCCATCAGTGTATGGGCCATGAGGAGCAACGGCCGCCCTGCCCCGAAGCAGACGGCAGCGGCGGCGCCTTCTCCGGCGTCGGCTCGAGTGGCACCTGGGTTGGGGCTCGCGTCTGGAGGCGGGTGCTGGCCAGCCGACGCCCCCCCCTCCGAGAGGATGGCGTCTCGAGCGACGAAGGAGCAGGAGCAGGAGGAGGAGGGAGGCAGGCGGGGATGACGAAGGAGGGAGAGGAGGGCGGGGAAGGGGCTTTGTGGGCCCCGGAAAAGGTAGGGCCGTTTTTTCACCGTTTCCGAAGAAGTGTCACTTGAAAATGGAAACGGCAAGAAAAGGCGACCGGAAACGGCAAAAAAACGGCTCCAGGATTGGACCCGGAGCCGGAACCGGTCAAACAACGGCGACGGAACCTCTAACAAAAACGGCGTCGGAACGGGCAAAACAACGGCAAAACGGAACCGGTAACAAAAAACGCCCTGTCGTTTCCAGAACCCACTAAGGAAAGGGGGTCTGGGGAGCAGGAGCAGGCAGAAGAAGGGGGGGGGAGCGTCAGGAGTACGAGGAGGCAAGTCACAGAGAAGTCGAGCGAGCAAAAGAGGGCACCGCCCTGCTCCTGCCCTCCCTCCCCACAGCTCGGGGACCACTCGGGCAGCACCCTGAGATTGTGAGCTTGGAGCGTGCGCCAGCCTCCCACAAACACAGGCGCTCACGCGCGGACCGCTCCCGACTCCGCCTGGGAAGCTGGGCGAGGGCTGCTAAAACCGTGGCTGCTAAAACCGGCCCTCCCGGAAGGAAAACACAGCTTCCCGGAATGAGGCGCGGCACGCGAAACAGTCAACGGGCTTCTTCCCGGAAGGACGAAGACAACTTCCTGGAGGTCGAGTTTAGCAGCAGCCACGGATTTAGCAGCCCCTGCCCGGCCTCCGATCCCGGGCGACGAAGAACAACTGCGCGGGCCGCGCAGAGGCGGGAGCGGCAGACCTGCCGATGGGCGCGGAGACGCCGAACCGTGCGCCGCGCTGGCACAGCGCTCCAGCTTGTGGAGGAAAGAGGACAATGCACATGCACCGATTCTGGCCAGGCCCAACCCTGAGCCCAGGATCGGTGCATACGCCCTCTTACCTTGGCCAGGAAGGTATATGTACCGATCCTGGGTCCAGGATGGGCGTTGTCCGGATCGGTGCATGTGCACAGTTCTCTTCGCCCGAGTTTTCACATGCAAGACTGCACGTCGCTCGGACGAGGTCGGCATCTCGCAGCACTCAGCCGTAGCTGGCTGCCCATGAGCATGCCTTGCTCCACACGTGCAGCGGTGCGACGGCTCCGTCGTGCTTGATTCACGAGTGGTGAGAATAGACCGCCACACTGCCAAACTCGGAATCCACGTGCGTCCTTCCACCTCCTCGCCTAGATCAAAGCCCAAAAACTTACCTATCTCCTCCAAATCCCAAGTCTGATACAACGGGGCCTGGCACAGAACGGCAAGGTGCACCTGAAAACATCTCTTCTGCCTGACCTAAACTGAGGCCGGCAACGGAATCAAAAGAGCGGGTTGGATTCCATCGCCAAAAATTCGGGGGTGGACAGAACCCTCTTTAGTACAACGCGGTTCAGTGAAAACGACCTCGGGCCCAAACCTGGCAGGCGCAAGCCTGGAAAATGACGGCCGCGGCGCCTTCTCGAGAACCGAAAACGGGCAATTCACTAATCGACGTGTCAGGGTGGGGCTTCTGTTCACCCCCGACGAAATCGAATCGAATCGAATCTTAGGTCGGGCGTGTCCCCCTGCAGGCGGATTTTGGACGAAAGATACAAAGCAAATAGTCAACGAATGCTCAAACATACTCAAAACATGCTCGGGGTTCTGTCCACCCCCGATCTTCTGCCTGGCCTCGGCTTGGGCCGGCAGCGGGCCTAAATAAAAATAGGAGCGGGCGGGGCTCCAGCGCCAGAAGGCCCGAGGCTCCTGCACCCTCGGCCGCTGGAGGCACCGCAGCGTAAACGCCAGGAGCAGCGCGAGCGAGGAGGGAGGACGGGAGAGGCTAAAGTTAAGTCGGGCCTGTGCCCCTACAGGGGGATTTTCGACGACCAAGATAAAGAAATACCCTAAAACTTATCAAAACATAATCCAAAAATAGTCTGGGGACTATGTTTTAAATATGTTTTGACCTCCTTGGGGTATGTTTAGGGTATTTGTTTTATTTTTTGTCGGAAATCCCCAAAGTTTGATCAGCACAGCGGAGGCCAGTCCACAAGAAACCTTCAACAAGAGACCCAGCCCTGAGACACCAGCACGCCCGTGGATTTTCGGTGTGGGAGCGCCACGCGCTCCGCGGCAAAGCCATCGAAGCCCACGAAACCCAGGGCACCCTGGAGGCAAGCAGGGCGTTTCTCGGCATGGGCCCCCTCTGTACGGCAATTTCGTCTCCGTGCCGCCAAGATGCAGCACTCTGGGTGCTCGTGAGCGTCGTGGGAGGAGAGGGCAGAGGAGAGGGAATGAGGAAAGGGAAAGAGGGGGGAGGGAACGAGGAAACGAGGAAGAGGAGCAGAGGAGAGGGAACGAGGAAACGAGGGAACGAGGAAACGAGGAGGGGGGAGGGAACGAGGAAACGAGGGAAAGGAAAAGAGGGGGGGAAGAGGGCAGAGGAGAGGGAGCGAGGAAAGGAAAAGAGGGGGGCGGCTGCAGGTGTCTGCGCAACAGGGGGAGCCGGAGAAGCGAAAAGGCCAGCAGACATCGTTCGGACCTAGTCCGAGGCGTCGCCGATGCCAGTGCCACTCCAGCCTTTCCAGCCCCTGTACCCCAGAAGGAAAGAGAGAAACATGCGAGACAAAAAGGGGGAGAAATGAGGACAGGAAGAGAGAGCTGGCGGCGCGCACAACGGGGTAAGGAGAGGGGGGGAGAAGGGAATGCTTCTTGGAAGGAGGCTGCTTCTTAGAAGGCGCCGGCCACACATCTGCGGACAAGAGACCCGCGCTTTCTGAGAAGCAGGGCTGCTCCTAAGAGGCGTTCCCCCTTCCCCCCATACCCCCCCTCTGCGCGTGGCCGAGACAGGGCGCCGCGACCCTGGCTTCCAAGGTCGAGGGGGCTCGGTGCCCGGGCGGACCACTGTGAAACTGGCATCGGCCCGCGACGGGGCCGCGCCGAGCACTGCGGCAGCTCCGAGCGCTGCGAGGACGGCCGCCGCCGCGGCCGCGCTGACCCCCCTGGCGGTGCGTCTGGCGTTGGCGTTGGCCCTGGCGCGCTCCGCGCGCCAAAGGGGGGGGGGGGGCCAGCGCCTATCCAAGAAATCCGCGCGGACCTACGACAATTTCCCAATCAGAGCTTGCCTCTGTAGGGGCCCTAACGGATTCATCTGGTTAGGTTAGGTTTGCCGCCGATTTTCGCCGCACGCCCGGGTGCCCGGGTGCCCGGGGGTGCCGGGGGGCCTGGGTGCCCGGGTGCCCGGGTGCCCGGGCGTGCCTGGGGGTGCCCAGGGGTACCCTATAGCCCTATAGCCCTATAGCCCAATAGCCCTATAGCCCATGTAGCCATATAGCCCATATAGCGCCCAAAAGCCCATATAGCCCTGTAGCCCTATAGCCCTAAAGAGATTATGACTGGGGTTTTCCTCCGGTATCATATTCTTGTTTATGTTAACATGTTTGGGCGTCGCTTGATGGGTGAGGGGCAGTGGTAAAGGGGAGGGGGGGCGACAAATGGGGAGGGGCGATCAATGAGGGGCGATGAATGGGGGGGGAGGGGGGGGGCGATAACTGGGGTGGGGGCAATAAATGAGGGCCCCCGGAAGGCCCCAAGAGCCCCTCAAGGGGCCCGAAGAGGCCCCCAAGAGACCCCCAAGAGGCCCAACAGAGGCACCAACAGGCCCGAAAACATCCAAGAGGCCTTTCAACCACAACCCCAGCACGGTGGCGGGAAGGGCCGCAGGCCACAAGGCTCCCTGCCTGTGTCTGCTACGACTCCCTCGGCCCACATGGGGAACATCTCCTTCGCCTTCTCCTGCTCCCTTCCACCTTACTACTCTCCCTCCTCCTCCTCCTCCTCCTCCTCCTCCTCCTCTTCGTATTCGACGTCGTCGTCGTCGTCTTCAGGGTCGGCGGCACCGGCCATAAGGCTTCAGCAGTAAACACACACACACACACACACACATCCCAGGATTCCCCATATGTTCCAATATATTCTGGAGTTTCGTCTTGCCCCCCACTTCCCATACTTCCCCATATTTTGCCTGGAAGGCGACGATTCAGTGTATCTGTGCGTGTGCGTTTTTTCCCCCCCCTGATGCCTATCCACTGCGCCTCTGGGCTCTCGGGCGCACGGGGAACCCGGGACTCCAAGACGCAGTAGGTATGGACACGTGTCTTCCCCGCCGTCGAGATCCCATCCCTTGGGCGGCGTGTCCCGAACCAGGGCTGAACCTAAACGGTGGTTTTCGTTTCCGTTTTGTTTTCGTTCTCCCTCGTTTTGTCTTCAACCCGCCTTTGCCGCAAAACGAAATCGAAACGAAAACGGACCACGAAATCGCCAAAACACCGTTTAGGTCCAGCTCTGTCCTGGACCCGACGGGTGAAAACAGTCAGACAATCCGGAGCGCTGAGTCGGCGCTGGCGGCGCGCACCCGGGGGTACGGCAGGCTCGTGCGGCGTCGGCGCGCGCACTGGTTTCACACAGCGCGTCGATCGTGTGAGCTTGATACGATTGCGGTCCCAATCGTTCAAGGATGAATCCCGTCGGGTCCTGTGAAGTCATCCGGTCGCGGCCCCGATCGTTCAAGGTTGAATCCCGTCAGGTCCCATGAAGTGGTACCGTGGTTCGACCTTGAACAATTAAACCTTGAGCGTCTTGCGCCACCGCCTCATAAACATATCGTAGGGTGAAGGGCAAGGTTTCGTAGAAAGAGGACTGATTACTAAAAGGAGCCAACCCTACATCTATAGACTATAAACAAACTCCGCGCTTTCTAGACAACGGGGGGGTGTTTATGAAAAGCCTTTTTCCCGTTGTCCCCAGAATGCTCTGGAATGACAGCTCGGAGGCTCGCGGCGGTCACCGCTACAAAGTCGGAGGGGAACGACGAAGAGGGTAAGGACGAGTTTTTCGGCCAGCCGAGACCGTTGGGGGAGGGTCACCGGCGGCATGGAAAACTCTCTGAACCCCCCCCGTCGGTGCGCAGGCGACTAAAAAATCGCACTGCTAAACCGGATCGGCGACCGAAGCGAATCGGATCGGCGGACATCGGCAACCAAGTCGGGAAAAGTAGGACCGGCGGGAATCGGCAGGCGAATGTCAACTTGTGGTGAACAAAATCATGGGGGCGCGTGAATGAAAAAAGTTTCCTTTGCTCGGGCAACTCGCGGGGGGGGCGCCCGCCAAATTGAAACCGACGGCGGCGGCGCCGGTGAGAAGCGGTGACGCTCGGCCGACTGCCGGAGGCCTGCAAACGCGACGCAAGCGGCGCCGCGTCAGCGGAGGGGGACAGCAGCGCCTCCGATCTAGTAAGGCGATTGGGCCACAGCGGCTGCAGACAGGAGAGCAAGAAGAGGCGGAGGAAAGAGGCGCCACGGCTGGCGGGCGGGGCCGACATGGCTTCAACCAAAAAGTGGAAGAAAGGGGAGGAGCGGAAGAGGCAGGCGGAAAAGGTTCCTCATTTTCCTTTTCCTTCCCACCTCCATTACAACGTCCTACGACTACGACGACTACGGCGATTGACTACGACGACTAGGGCGACGACAACGACGACGACGACGACGACAACGACGACGGCGACGGCGGACGACGACGCACTGCGGATGTTCCATGGATGTGGGGGGCGGGGGTGCTGCGTATGCCCGCTGTAATCATCGTCGGCGGCGACGGCGACGAAGACAACGACGGCGAGGACGAGGGCGAGGGCGAGGACAAGGACGACGACGGCGGAACGACGACGCACTGCGGATGCCGCATGGGGGGGCTGAGCAGGCCCGCTGTCGTCGACGACGACGACGACGACGACGACGACGACGACGACGACGACGACGACGACGACGGCGACGGCGACGGCGACGGCGACGGCGACGGCGACGGCGACGGCGACGGCAACGACGACAAAGGCCGACGAGGACGACGAAAACGACGAGGACGAGGACGACGGCCCAGGCCGACGAAGACGACGCACTGCGTATGCTCTATGGGGGGGGCTGCTACCGTAGTCGACGACGACGACGAAGACGACGACGTCAACAACGCGTCGACGACGGCGGCGACGACGATGCACTGCGGATGCCCCATGGAGGGGGGGCGGTGCAGTGTAAGCCGGGCCCGCTGTAGTCGACGACGACGACGACGAAGACGACGAAGACGACGAGATCAACAACGCGCCGGCGACGGCGGCGACGACGATGCACTGCGGATACCCCATGGAGGGGGGGGTATGCTGTGTAGGCCGAGCCCGCTGTTGTCGACCACGACGACGACGACGACGACGACGGCGACGACGACGACTGTGGCACATCAGAATTCAGCCTGAAGAGGGGGAACAACTTCGCCTCGGATGTATACCTTCCCTATGCCAACTTCCATACGACGTGCAATCGTTTTGAGGCTGCCGTGCAGGGGGGTACACGATCCCCTCGACGGCGCCCGCAACGAGCTCCTGGCGCGCGCGATTAAAAACATGTTTCGCGCCCCGCGGGGTCTATTCATCAGCCCAGTGGGGTGGCCTCGTTTGTTAATCACCAACTGACATTCGTAGGCCTCCAGTGAGACATCGGAGTCCGCCTCGGAATCCGAAGTCGAATCGGAACGGGATTGGCATCCATCGAAATCGAATCGAATCGGCGGAGTCGAAGTGAGCCCAGGCGCGTGGCCAAGACCGAATCGACGGAGATCTGGGCCCGCGCTGCGGTTGACCAGGCGACAACGCCCTGTGCGAAACATCTGCGGCACCGCGCAGCTCCAGTCCGGTGCCCCGTCGGAGGTCCCCGACTCGGCGGCGCGCACGCTGGGGTTGGGGTACAGGGGGGAGGGGGGAAGGCGTCATAGGAGGAGGCATCTTCTCACAAGGAGCCGGCCTGAAGCACATCTACAGATGAGGCCTGCGCCTCCAAAGACGCAGGGCTGCTTCTAGGAAACCTTCCCCCTCCCCCTAGAAGGGTCTTGGACAACAGACGCCCATAAAGGGAAACTGACTTTGTCTTGCGCGGGGGCCTTGTTTGACGAACTGCGTGGGGGGCAAGGCTTCTTATGAGGGGCAACAACTATAGGGGGGGACTGGCATAAGGGGGGGATGCATCGACCTGGAATCTGCGATACATCACCGATAGATCGGCGATAGGCCCCCGATAGTGAGTGAATCCGCACCTCCTTGTGCAGGTTTGGGCTAGCGGGCCCCTATTGGCGATCCATGGGCGATTGGGGGTCGATGCATCCCCCCCTATGCCTATCCCCCCCTACCGTTGCCCCCGATCTGAGATGGAGGCTGCTTCTCAGAAGGCGCCGGCCTGACGTCTGCAGACGGGGCCCGCGCCTTCCAAGAAGCAGGGGTGTTTTCAAGATTAGGTCGGGCATGTCCCCCTACAGGCGGATTTTCGACGAAGAAATGAAAATTGGTCAACAATACCCCAATCTATATATATATATATATATATATTGGGGGGGGGGCTCCACCTCCTCCTCCTCCTCCTCTTCCAAAAATAACAAAAAACAAACATAGCCCAAACATACCCCCCCTCCTCCTCTTCCAAAAATGCTCTTTTAGCCAAAGACACCAAACAAATACCCAAACATAAGAATTGTATAGGAGAATCGTCTCCCAACTATTTTGTACTATGTTTGACTAGTCTTCCCGTAGAGGGACGCCCCCGACTTCATTCTAAGCAGCCTTCCTCGCGTGGCCGCCCGCCTGCCGCGGCCCCCAGACCTCCAGCCTCTCCATTGCTTCGAGGCGCGAACCCAAAGGGGCCCTGGGACACAGACACACTCCTCCTCCTCCTCCTCCTCCTCCTCCTCCTCCTCCTCCTCCTCCTCCTCCTCCTCCTCCTCCCCATACTCCTCCTCCTCCTCCTCCTCCTCCTCCTCCTCCTCCTCCTCCTCCTCCTCACACACAGATAGATAGGCACAGATCCCAAGATTCCCCACACGCTCCCCTATTTTTGTCTGGGCCCCTACTTCCCGCATTTCCTGAGATGTTCCGGGGAGTCGACGACCAGATGCGTCTCTGTGTGTTTCTTCCCCTCCTGAGATACCGCGACGGAGCCAAAGGCAGAGCCGAGACAGCACCGGGCCGCACGCCCGCCGAGGACGCAGGCTAAGCGTGCACGGGCCCTGGGAGGCCAGCTCGACGCTCAGCGGGCGGGGCGCGGCCGGCGAGAGCGGCCACGGAGGGGCCGAAAGGGGGAGGACGCCGGGGCCCCCGTGGCAAGGCGCTCGTCCTTGCGATGCGGGTTGGCTGCAAGACGAGCCAGGCAGAGTCGAGACCACACAAGCGGGCTCGGAGGACGTCTCGGGCGCCGCGGCGGTTCCAGAGCGTTCCGGAAGGCTCCGAGAGCGTTCCGGAACGCTCAGGGACGGATTCCTCTCGATTCGGCGGTGGACAATGGTAAACCTCCCCTTAATGAAAACGGCCTGGGACCGAAACCGACGGGCCTGGACCCGCAAAAATGACGGCCGCGACGCCCTCTCGCGAACCGAAAACGGCCAATTCCTTAATCGACGTGTCAGGGTAGGAGGTCTGTCCACCTCCGAAATTTTAAAAAGTAGTCAGAAATACTCAGACAATGATCAAACACAATCGAAGCATCGTCCCCAGACGATTAAAACAACAACTATTTTTGGATATTCCTCCAGTGGGGACGTAACCGACTTAAGACTAACATGTCTGGGCCAGCCTCCGGCTGCGGCAGAGCCCGAAGGCCCACGCAGGCCTCCGGAGCCCCGTCGCTGCCGGCTGGCCGACGCCGCCCGAGGGCGCCCCCGCCGCCGGCCAGCCCGCGCCGCGCGCCCCCCCGCAACGAGCGCCGCGCCGCGGTAAGCGCCGGCGGCTTGCCCTCGCCGCCAGCCGAGGCCCCCACCAGCGGACGCAGGCTCGTCGCAACCGCGTGGCCACCGCTGCCGTCGTTGTCGTCGTCGTCGTCGACGACGACGACGACGCTGCTCCCCATGCGCGCCCCCAGCGACAGCCCGCCCCAGGCGTCCACCGCGCGCGAGCCCCGCGCCTGGGCGTGCACCGTGGGCCTGAGCTGGGCAGCCGGGCACCATGTAATCAACTGAGCTTAGGTCGGGCATGTCCCCCTACAGGCGGGTTTTGGACGATGAGTAACAATAGCCCAAACATATTTAAACAACTACTCAAAAATAGTCCACAAATCGTTCCCAGACTATTTTTGTACTATGTTTGAGTATTCCTCCTGTAGAAGAGGGACACGCCCGACTGAAAACTAAGCGTTGGCGCTGGCCCCCGTGTGGAGAGGCCTCCCAGATGGGGTCGGAGGATCGCGCCGCGTCGCCGATGCATCGGTGATGCATGCTCGGCGACATCGGCGTGGAGAAAATCGGACTCCGCATCGAGCCGCATCGCCGATGCATCGGCGGTGCGGCGCGATCCTCCGACCTCATCAGCTCGGAGACCCCCCACCTGGGAGGCTTAGACGAATCCAAATCTCCGACGGCATGATTGTATCAATCCCGGCGGTTTCTCGCCGGATTGGGCCCTCGGGGGCCATCATCGGACCACGGGACCACCAAATATGGACCCAGGGAAACGGTCGGGAACGTCTTCGAAGATCTGCTGACCTTGGTCAACCCAGAACCGCGTCTGTCAGGCCCTGCAGGATTCTGCAAGATCCTGCAGGACCCTGCAGGACCCTGCAACCGAACCCAGGTCAATGCCCCTGGCCCCGCAGAATCCTACAAGATCCGGCGCTCTGGCTGACCCCCGTCTGCATCGACTCCCACCTCAAGCCTCCCGACCTGGGGGGCAAAGAAACCACCCTCGGCGAAGCGGTCGGACCCCCGGGGCCGCGGGCTGACGAACATCATGCCGGCGCACGTCTGGGGAACCGAAAGCTCCCCGCCACCGCATGGCCACCGCTGCCGCCGACAAGCGCGCCCCAGACGCCGCGCCGTAGGGAGCGGAGGCCCAAAGGAACTGCAGGACCCGTGTCGACTCGCCGGCGTGAGGGTGGGATCGCGCGGGGGGGATGAGCACGGATCGCGTGGAGAGTGTCCTCGGCGCGGGTGGCGAGGCAGGAGCAGGCCGTCGGGTGGTCTGGCAGCGGAGGTCTTAGAATCGCACCCCTAGCGTAACCGGGGTCGTGGCCTGGCAAGACTGGTCCCGCACCTCCTCGCGGAGAGGAACGCGAACGCGGGGCCAGGAGGGTGAGGAGCGGGCCAGAGTACGAAAGTGCACGTTGCCCCCACGTCGAATAAGGATGAAGGCAACCGGCTCCACTTAGGAAACTTACCCCCGCCTCATTCCTCGTGCTGCCAGTCTGCTCACCCCCTTTCTCTTCCCTACTTTCATCTCATCCCTCCGCCTCCCTCTGCTTCAGCTGTGGTGTTCTTCCCATGCACTTCTCTAGCCCCAAGCACCGTCACTGTGCCCATGAAGTCATTCTCAGTCTGCGAGTCGAAATCGAAGAGCGCGAAGGTCACGGTTGAGAACCCGTCTGCGTTGCCGAAGCGATGCCTGTGCTCGTAAGCGGCGGAATCACTTCAGAAGCTCATCATCAAATGTCGTTATAGGCTAATGCAGGCAGGGGCAGAACTTGGACGAGTAGCACGGGCCACAGGGAATGCAGAGGCACTATAAAAAATCAGCCTCTTGCAAAATTGCGAGTGGAGCACCGCAGTTGGACTTCGAACGCACAACGATAAACGCATCGGTAATAGAACTTTGTGCAAGGCTCAGTGTACTGATGCACAATATGGGCAAGCATGGTTACATGCACACATGGCTTGTCCGAAGGTGGTTATTGTGTGGCCGGCACTCTGCGAACATGCGGTCTGTTTGACCTCTTCGGGCGCGGACGATGCTCTCCATCAGGAAAAACGAATGCAACATGTGTTCGGCTCCAGCGCGACATGCCATATACAAAAAACATTCACACGCCCATCGCGCGTCACACTATCGGCACCAAATGTGGTATAACTGCCCCTCGTGCTCGTCAACGGGAATAGTATACTGTATTATTACATCTACTTCACGCGCGGCGCTTGACAAGCTATGTTCTTCGCGCCAAAAACCAACACCGGAGACCGAACCCCCTCATCCTCCTGATTCGCCGCCTACTCTTTTTCTTGCACAATATTTCTCCTTGTCGTCATTCCAATCATATCCCCGTCCTGATTTGTTGCGGGAGGATCGATCACTGCTGGACTGCATCTCAAAGAAGGGTAAACTTTCAGGACATAGTTTGGTCCAGGGACTGGCTATCTTGACCGCGCAACTATCGACCAAATCGCAACAGGCCAATTTGCACGTGTTCGGCGACCTGCGTAAAAAACTAACATTGGAGAAACCACCTCGGACCTCTACCGGGCCGTGTTCCGACCAGGATTCCGAGGCGAATCGGGCAGTGGCGACGAGGGCCGCCCAGGAGGCCCAACAAAAAGGGAAAACGAGGGAAGGGTGGCGGCATCGGTACCTTTTTCTTCCTCTGGTACCTGTGTAACAGCGACCGTTCGTCTGTTGGCGCGCAGGTGGACCATGGGAAGAGTTGGCGGCGCGCAAAAAGAAGGTTAGGGAGAAGGGTGAAGGCTTCTTCGAACGCATTTGCTTCTCAGAAGGCGCAGGCCTTGCAATCATAAATGAGGCCCGCGCCTTTTGACAGCAGGAACGCTTCTAAAAAGCCCCCCCCCTTCCCCTACCCTTCGCTCGGGCGTGTCCCCCAACAAGCGGATTTGGGACGACAAACAAAACGAACACCCAAAACAAATACCCAAAAGTATTAAATGCTGTTAACAAGTCGTCCCCAGACTATTTTTATACTATTCTCGAATGTAACTTCCGAATGTAAAACAGGGCTAGGATCGGGATGAATCGTTCCAGAGCGTTCCGGAGCGCTCTCAGAGCGTTCCGGAACGCTCTGAAGCGGCCGCGGCGCCCAATACATCCTCCAAACCCGCCGATTCTCAGAGATTTCGAATTATCCCGATCCGATTTTGTTCCGATCTTCGCGTCGTTTTAGTATGTCCCCCTTGTAGAGGGACAGGCCCGACTTGACCCCACCCCCGTCTGCGCGCGGCCGACGCACACACATACACAGGCACGCACGCACACACGCTCTTGAGAGCGCCGCGGCCTGGGCCGAGCCGCGGGGCAGCCAAAAGACGCGCCGGCGCGCGTGGGCCGGCAAACGAGCATCGGGGGGAGCGAAAGGATCAGGTCAGGTCAGGTGCGGCGTGCGCAGAGGCGCGCCCTGTGCGGGCTGCCGCGGACCTCCTCGCCTTCCCACACACTTTTTCTCGCAACCGCCACCTTCTCACACCCTCGCAAATTAGTCAGTCCATCTCTTCGATGGCCTTCCAACAGATCGAAGCCCGGACGGCGCCCATCGTAGCACGAAGGGGGGGATAGCAAAGGGCGGGGTAGAGAATCAGCTCACGTAGCTGATTTTCCCAGCGCCTCCCGGCGCTGGGAAGCGCCCATGTATCGAGGAATGGGCCCGGCGGCGGGGCCGAAACCAGCTGCGCGCAGCAGATAACCCCCCCTTTCCCTGTCCCCCCCTTTCGTTCGGCCCGAGATGCAGCAGCGGCCAAGGCCGGCCAGAATTCAGACGACGAGGGGCCAGTAAGACAGGGGCCAGGAAGGGGGGCCAGGCGAAGCAGAGGGGGACGCGAGGAGCGATGAGCGAGGAGCGGCAGCAAACAGCCGACGGAGACAAGCGGACGGACGCGAAGGACAACGGGAAGACCGACGGAGCAGAGGAAGCCGAGGAGATGAGTCCGGTGGCAACTCGTAGCCTCCCATACCATCTTTTCAGCTCTTGCGAGTTGACGCGAATCGACGCTACCCGACGCTAACTCGACAAACATCGACGCTCATTCGGCGCTGTCTCACCAATTACGGGACGCCAGTCGACGGTGAAGACCGAATAAAGAGGGTATGCTTGGAAGGCTCCCATACTTGGCTGCCGAAGAAGAGAGGAGGCACCAAAACACATACACACACACCTTCTCTCTCTTGATCAGCGGCGGAGCTCGCGACGCCCGAGCAGGCGGCCAGCCGCGACGGACGCGCGGAGCCACAATACGAAGAGAAGACAGCGCCCGGCCAGGCGGCAACGGCCCCTGCAATCCGACGTAGCGAGATTCCCCCCAAGAATGAAACACCACGGAAAATCGCGACTGGAGTTCTACAGTCATCGTGCTACCATAGGGAGCGCACCATAAGGAACGAACGGACTTCTCTCGCCTTGTCGGGCCTGGAACACACATAAGTCTAAGGAACAGCCCCCAAAACCCGAGCCCCTGGTGATCCCCAAACGGTCCTTATTCCTCATCTAAGCGTCTGGACTGCAGACCTCGTCCTGATGCGGTGCTTCTCGAGCCTGATCAACCTGCGAGGGTCCTGGGGCCCGAAACAGGAGAAAGTCGCCCGTTGCTAAAAAATGCGACGCCAAGGACCGCGGCGAGGCAGCCTGCCATCCTCCACAGGCCCGGTGGCTGGCGCGCGCTTGACCTCTGGCAACGTCGGGTCGAAGGCTACGCCTCTGACCGCAGCGGCCTGAGGCTGCTGTCGGGTCCATGGTGAGGGGACCACCGGTGTGCAGACACAAACGCAGAAACAGACAAACACAGACATACACACACACACTGGTTTTCGCGTCGCGGCCCTGAGCGCAGCGACAGAGCGGAAAAAGATAAACACACAGACACGCGCACAGACGCGCACACACACACACACAAACGCACCCACAAACACACACATACAGACACACACAGACACATACACAAACGCACACACACAAACACAGACACAGACACAGACACAGACACAGACACAGACACAGACGCAGACACACACACACACACACGCACGCACACATTCACGCACACACACGCGCGCACCCACAAACACACATGCACACGCACACACGCACGCCACAAACACACACGCACACACACACACACACGAACGCACGCACGCACACACACACACACACACGCACACACACAAAGACACACACACACATATGCACACACACGCAATCACGAAAACCAACGCACACACGCGCACACACACACACGCGCGCACACACACGCACGAACACACACACACACACGCACGCACACACACACACAAACACGAACACGCACACACAAACACACACACACATACACACAAACGCACACACACACACACGAACACAGACACAGACACAGACACAGACACAGACACAGACACAGACACAGACACAGACACAGACACACACACACACACACACGCACACGCACACATTCACGCACACACACACGCGCGCGCCCACAAACACACATGCACACGCACACACGCACGCCACAAACACACACGCACGCACACACACACGAACGCACGCACGAACACACACACACAAAGATACACACACACACACAAAGAAACACACACATATACGCACACACACACACACGCAATCACGAACACCAACGCACACACACACACACACACACACGCACACGCACACGCACACGCACACGCACACGCACACGCACACGCACGAACTCACACACACACACACAAACACGAACACGCACACACACACACACACACACAAACACACACACACACACACAAACACACGCTCACGCACGCGCACGGGCGCGGGCCCATCCTCTCTATATCTGCCGCTGTGGTGCCTCACGCCGACTTTACGCACGCGCACCGCAGACTCTGAGCCCAAGGGCGACATCATCTTGGGGGTCTGCTCGCACGACTCGAGGGCCCTCGAATGCAGGGCACACAGTGTCCACTAGCAGTGGGCGAAACGATGTCGTATTGCGATTTTGAAACTTACGCTGTATACACATGCTCATCCATCTCATCCTCGGGGGACATATAGATATCTATACCGCTGCTCCCCAAACTTCTCCCAGGGCGCGCTGCGACCAGGACCTCGAGGAGACCGGTCGTGGCGGCGATGGGGCCCAGGACGCCCAAAAAGTCGAAAGCACTGGAAAGGCAGCGGTATCGGCATCTCCTTCTGATCCTGGTCCTCCCTGCCTGGCGCTGGAGGAGGAGGAGGAGAAAGAAGAGGAGGAGGAGGTCCGCAGGATCGGCGCTGGACTCCCCTGCCTGGCGCGCGGAGAGCCCCAAAGGGCGGCGCTGGAGGCGTCGCCAGGGAGGCGCCGGCACCGATCCAAGAGGTCCTCGCGGACCTCCGAGGGCTTACGTTCATGCAGCTTTTTGCTCTCCGAGCATCGGTACCCTTTTCGAACTCTCTCTTTGATCCTCCCCCCCTCCTTCCTCTTGATCCTCCCCTCCCTCCCTCCAAATCTCCTCCCCTCATCCCCCCTGGGGAGACCAAAAGGTACCCATACCGCTACTCCGCGGACCTCTCCCAGGGTGCGCTCTGACCAGGATGTCGAGGCGAGTCCAGCGGTGACGACGAGGGCCTCACACGAGGCCGAAAGACGAGAAAACGAGCGAGGGGGTAGAGGTATGGGTAACTTTTTTGGGACGCCCGAAATGGGTACGGAAGAAATGGGTACAATGCCCAACAACAAATTGTCCCAAACCAACAGCGGCCGCTGTTGGGCAGGCGGCCGTTTGTCTCAAATGGACACAGGCCGCGGCGGCGCGGACAGCGAGTCCTGTTCAAAATGAACAGGAACTGCTGTTGGGCATTGTACCCATTTTTGTCTGTAACCAATTCGTTCGTGCTGACTTTTCCTCCTCTGGCACCCCCCCCTCCCGCCTTCCGCGTCTCCCTCCCGCCTCGCGCCCATGGCCCCGGCCCCCCGTCGACGACCTCGGCCCGGGGCGAGGGGCGCCGGACCTGTACGCGCGCATGGCTTCCCACAGGAGGCGGTCGACGCCGCCTCGGGCAGCGGGGGTGGGGGGAGCAATGACGACGGAGGCGAAGCGGCAGTCCAGGAGCAAGAATCGCCTCGGATTCAGTAGCCTTCGGGGGCCTTCAGCGGCCTCTAGTCTATCATCAGCGGCCTGTAGTGGCCTTTAGTCCCCTTTGGGCAGCCTCTGGTGGCCTCTAGCGGCCTTCAGCAGCCTCCAGTGGCCCCTACGACAGTGCATAGAAGTGCATTCCGTATGTTAAAGTGAGCTGCCAAAAAAACCCACTCAATTGACTTGTATAGGGGACGCATTAGCGATCCGTGGATTTGGCGCGCGGTCGCCGAATCCATGGATCGAGGGAAGTGCCTCCCCAAAATGCGACCGGTGCCGCCTCGCTCGGCGGCGGACAGCCGCGATTTCCAATAGAAACAAGACCCGTCGCCATCGGGGATCTTCGGACCCGGGTCAATCCAGACCCGGGTCAGTCAAGCCTTGCATAAATCCTCCAAGATCCTGCCAGATACTGCACCCAAGCCCGGGTCACCGCACAAGATCCGGCAACATCCTGCAGGATCCTACACCCGAACCCGGGTCCAATGCGACCCTGGCCCTGCAGGATCCTGCAGGATCCGGCGCTCTGGCTGACCCCTGTTTGCATTCACCCCCGTCTCTTGAGCCCCGAAAAGCGCAAACTTTTGGCGGTCCGCGCAGATGTCTTGGGTCCGCGCTGGGGCCCCCTGGCGCAGGAGGGGCGCGCCCGGGAGGGGGGCTCTAGCCCAGATTCAAGACACTCGCGCGGACCTCCAAAAGTTTATGTCTGAGCAGTTTTCTCCTGCCCCAGACACGTTTCTTCTTGCTCGAGGCAAGAGCGCACTTCTTCACTCGCGGCCATAACGGGCGTCGTGGGGTGGAGAGGGGGGGGGCGGGAAGGGCAACAACGCAGCGCCCCCCCCCCCCCCCAGACTGTAACAGGGGGAACAACGCATCGCCCTCCCCCCCAGACTGTAACTGTGGCAGTACCGGGGACGCACTGAGGGGGGAGCGTTACAGTATGAGGGGGGAGGAGGGGGGAGAGTAGGGGGTGTAACGCGCGTTATGGCCCAGAGGGAAACAAAAAGTATCTCCAAGAGGGGAGGTGATGTTATGTTGCATCGTCGTGGACCTCGTCTATCTCAAAGCGGTCCTGTCCGCGTCGAATCCGTGTCGAATCCGGGCCGAGCGCGACGAATGCGCGTCGAGTCCACGTCGAATCCACGCCAAATCGACGTGGAGTCCGCATCGAGCTCGCGTCGGGCTGAAGAAGAGACAACAACTTGAGGGACAAGCGAGGTCGCCCGAAAGATGCAACGTGAGCGATGAGGATGGGCAGAGTACAAGCCAAGATGCACCAACGATGCCGATGTACAATCCCATCCCGGAGTCCTAGAAGCGATCCTCGCCACGACGGGCCTCCATCCGTGCACCTGACCATACAGAGGCACTCATGCTGGCAGACGCTGGTGATGCATCAACAGAGAGCGCCATGCTCTGAAGATGGGCCGCCCCCCATCCGTGTGACCGTTGCGTGGGGACTCTCGTCTGAAGTTGGGCCTGTCCCTCTACAGGGGGAATGCTCAAAAATAGTCAAAAACCAGTCTGGGAACGATGGTTGTACGTCTGGATACACATAAATATTTGTTTGGGCTGCTCTTGTGTATTTTTGATGTTTCGTCTAATGGGGGGACATGCCCGACCGAAGACTTGTCACGTGTAAGAGTTGGACTGGTCTGGCCCGGCGAGCGCAGCAGCTCGGGCCAGCCTCACGCTTCATCTGCACCCTCGCGCGCCTCTGGCAAGTGCACGGATGCGTCAAACCATGACTCCTGTCGCAGCTAGTCGGCGTGCGGCCTACGCGTCTGCAGCATGACGCCATGCGCGTCGAAGGGAACCAGAAACGGCACAGTGCATCCTGAGCCGTCGAAACGTGGCGTGCCTCGCAAAAGCAATGTGAGCGCGAGCTTACTGCAAGCAGCGGCATGGCGCGACTGCGATGCGGGTGAAATCTCGGGCGCAACGCCTTGCTGGCCCTCCCGACACGCCTCAGGGTGCGACGAGGAGGTATTCATGATAAATATGGGTGGACGGATGGGGAGGAGGGAGAGGATGAGGAGAGGCAGGACAAAGAGAAGTGGGGAGGGAGAGGGAGACAGTATGGAAGAACTGGTCGATATGCGGTGCACCTCCCCGACATAGTCTCCAGATTCTCTTCCCCTCCACATACTCGTCACTCTTCATTTCTCATCCCCCCTCCACCACTTTCGCTCGTTGTCCTCGTCTTCATGGCCCCTCTCTCCTCAATCAAGTATCCTCCCTGCTCCCCCCCCGCAAACTTCCCTCATACCCAATCCCTCCTCCCTCCCGCCTCCTTCATCCCTCCTCCCACATTTACCATGCAATGAACCATTCACGACCCAAGTGAGCAGGCGCCACCCACGTAGTACTTCCAGAACTGCGCGCGGTCGTGCTGGTCCTTGTCTGACATGTCCATGTGTTTCTCAACGGTGTTGAGCTCTGACCTTTCCCATTTCTGTCCTCGACCCTCTACGCCGTGCCATGCCCTGCCCGACAACCGCGACTCTTGTGCGCCCCCCTTCGCACCAATCGTGCCAATCCGCCCCGACGTGCGCTGGCCGCGTTTGCAATATTGCTCCTCCTGCCCTCCCCATTCCTCCTCGTTCGCCCATGCTGGCACGTGCTCGCAAGATCGTTTACTCTGGTCCCCCAGCTTCGATGTCCTCCTCCAAGAGACCTCACCCTGCCCCTCTTCATGCTCATCATGATCTGTCTCCTCGTGCTCCCACCTCTCCCCCTCCCTCTCCGTAGCCATCTTGGCTCAACCGTTCGGACTGGGCCCACAGCGCCGGATGCCGTGCAATCCGCCGACGTGATGTTTACAATCCGCGGCTTTAGAGGTCCCGACGGATTCCCCTGGACCAGTGTTCGCCCCGGACCTATGGTTCATGACCCTGGGGCCCGATAGTGGGCCCCAAAGGACACCTGGCAACGATCTCCAGTTGCAGGAAGAACTCAATCGGAGAGAGGCTGGGTTGCCTCAGCTCTTGAGGCGCGTGGAGGATTGCACGTGCGTCGACGGAGGGAGCGGGACCTCTTCCTGGCAACTCCTGCGCACGCGTGCCCCGAACCTGGGCAACAACTCCGCCAGCCCCCCTACTTGCCATCGCTCTGGCGTCCATTCCCGTGCATGTGGATGTAGGTTAACGACCGAAGAGTCGAACCTACTGAGATGTCCGTTGGTAGAGGACGATTCGGATAGAAAGAGGGAGAGATCCCTTTTCCCATGCGCCGCGGGCGAGCTGCCCGGGTCCTGTCTGACAGGACTGTCCAGAGTACCTGAGCCGAGACGGTAGCAGGATAGATGGATAGAAAAATGACATGAGCGGACTTCACACACGGTGCATTGTTCGGTTCCGTGCGCGTGTTCTTTCGCAAGCTGGTCCTCGATCCCCCTCGATGCTCCGCGCCGAGAAGGAAACTGCACGCGTCCGAGCAGCGCCAAGCCCAACACCTGACGAGATGGCCGCGTCGCCCCGACAGGTGGTACAACAAAGTACCGGAGGCTGGTCTATGTTGCCCCCATCGTACTTACTGACCACATCCCCGAAACAATTTCGAGCACCCAGAAAAGGATCGGAAACAGTGTCGAACGAGCATTGCCTCCCGGGGCCCGACCAGTGAAAAACCCTCCAGTTTCGGTACCTTCTTGGTGCTCGACATTCCTCCTGGTGGTCAAGGCTAAAGTCGGTTGGAACATCATACAGCGCGGGCGCGGTCACAAGAAACCCTCGCAGGAAACCCAACCCTGAGAACCCGTGCGCGAGGTGCTCCTGAGGGGAAACCCCGAGCACCCCGAACGCAGCAGCTCCTTCAACAGCTGCGGGAAGTCACCGCGCAGCGCGAGGAGCGATGAGACCCAGGATGCCCTGACGAACAGCACATGGTGTCTTGATGCGCGCCCCCGCTGTAAGGCTGGTCCTCCGCACTCGCAAAGAACTCGCGAAAGCGGTGGGGCCCCCGCCCGCCCTCCGGGGCGCCGTTCCGATTGCGGCGCCCCCCCCCCACGAGGCTCCTCGAGCAGCCGCGAGGTTCTCGGGAAAGGGGGCAGGGGCAGAAAGGAGAGGAGGAGAGGGAGGAGGAGGAGGAGGAGGAGGAGGAGGAGGAGGAAGAGGAGGCGGAGGGAAGGGATGAGAAGGAAAGGGAGGAGGAGGAGGAGGAGGAGGAGGAAGAGGAGGAGAAGGAGGAGGAGGGGGGACGACGACGAACACGAGGGAGAGGAGGAGGATGGCCGACGCTGGGGAGGACGATCGGCGATGGCGATAAGAGTGGCCATGGTTGGTGCAGAGAACGCTTTTCCTCACATCGTATGTCTCCAACTGTCGTGCCCCGCGAGGCGCGACGCACGGTTATCCTCGCGCGGCCACCCGCCAGGATGGAACACCTCCAGCCCAGCCGCGCAACACGAAGCGCAATCATCTTCGCGCCCTCGCTGGTGACCTGAGCTCCTCCTCCTCCTCCTCCTCCACATCCTCCTCCTCCTCCTCCTCCTTCTCCTCCTTCTCGTCCTCTCCGTCCTCCTCCTCCTCTTCCTCCTTCTCCTCCTCCTCCTCCTCCTCCTCTCCTTCCTCCTCCTCTCCTCCTCCTCCTCCTCCTCCTCCCTCTCCTCCTCCTTCTCCCTCCTCCTCCTCATCATCATCCTCCTCTTCGTTTCCGTATTGTTCCTCCTGCTCTTCCTCTTCCTTCTCCTCCTCCTCCTCCTCCTCCTCCGTCTCCTCCTCCTCCCTTTCCTTCTCCTCCTCTGGACATCAACTCCCATGCATCAGAAAAGCTCCCGAGACCTCGCCCAGCGACAAGAACATGCCGTACAAGGAGGAGGACACGAGGAGCAAGGAGCGAGTCATGCACTCAAAACGTACGTAGCAGAGCGAGGTACCCCAGCGACGAACGTGAAAAGCACTCGCATAAACGATGGACTTCAAGAAAGCAGCGACAGTCACCTCCGCAGTCTGTAGCGGAGGCCAGTCAGACCCCGCAGTGCAGTGGAAGCCCGCCTGAGCCAGACTTGTTGGTACAAACACATGTCTCCTTATTAAAGAGCAGAAGACTGGACAAGCATAAACTGTTGGGGGTCCGGGCAGACTTCTTGGATCGGCGCTCGACCTCTCCCCGTGCGCGTGGAGCGCACCAGGGGCGGCGCCAAAGGTGCCGCCAGGGGTGTTCAGCGCCGATCCAAAAAACCCGCGCGGAGCTGCAACAGGTGTGAATTCACCAAGTGCTCAACACGTCTATGAAGGACGGGTGGTAAGGACGCAAGACCCTTGGAGGCCGAAGTTGGGATTCTTTGGGCGGCGGGCGACCCAAACCCCAAGGACGCAAGGGTACCCTAAACCAGGGAGAGGCCAGTGATAACGGCAAAGGACGGGCCGCAGATGCCAGGACACAAGTGTACCCTAGATAAAGGCGCGCGTCGATACTGGGCGCGTTGACTGGAGGAGGGGGAGGAGAAGGAGGACCAATGTAAACTAAGACCCATCAACGATGTTGCTATAAGCCCACCACTCTCGTTTCACAAGTTCATACAAGGATTCACCTCCACTGAGAAATGCCCCATTGGAAAAAAGCCGTCTGAAAATCCTGAACCGTGACAGGCCACCACTCCTGGGACGTCAACACCGCAAATCAAATCACTGATGCGCCCCGACGGCCCTGAATCGCGCCAGAACGCTATTCCTGGGACTCCAGCACCACAGGTAAACAGAACTGTCACGCCCTCACTGTCCGACATCGCGACAAGCTACTATTCTGTGGGACTCTCAAGGATTTTGGCATCTTGGGAGTCTCTTGGGATCATCCTGGAAGCCTCTGGGGCGCTTCTTGGAGTTTCTTGGGGCCCCTCTTGGGGCGAGCGGGGGAGCATGCAGAAGAACAAAGGGCGGGGTGAGCCGCCATATACCCCAAGAGGGGGAGGATGTAGGAGGAGCCGTCGTCGTCGGAGTAGGAGGAGGAAGAGGAGGAGCAGGAGGAGGAGCAGGAGGAGGAGGGGGAGGAGGAGGAGGAGGAAGATAAGGAGGAGGAGATGGAGGACTGCGAGGACGAGGAGGACGAGAAGGAGGAAAAGGAGGACTGTGCGCGGCGCAGAGGCGAGAACCACCCGTTGGCAGGTGCCGCCCTCCGCCCGTGGAGCTGCTGCAGACTTGTCACGCAGGGAGGAGGACAGGGAGGAGGACAGGGAGGAGGACAGGGAGGAGGAGGAGGAGGGAGGAGGAGGGAGGAGGAGGGAGGAGGAGGAGGAGGGAGGAGGAGGGAGGAGGAGGAGGAGGGAGGAGGAGGGAGGAGGAGGGAGGAGGCCCTGGAGCGGGGGGGGGGCGGGCCCACGCGGGGGGGCCGGGAGCGGCCCGCACGGGGGCCCGAGCGCCCCGCAGGCTCGGCCGAGGCAGCGGCGTACTCCTCCTCCATCCGTACGACTTCTTCAGAGCGTCAGCGTGAGGACCACAAGCGGTGAAGAGATCTCGTGCGCAGCGCCCGGGTCGCCCTACCCACACGTCTCGGACTGTGAAGCTAGGTACCCGGAATACGGTTCTAAGGAACAGCGATGATGAAAAACTATAGCGAGAAACATAAGAAGACAAATAATCCGCCGGCCCCCTTGTGGGGCCACCAGGCTGTAGGCGCGGGTTCGCAGTTTCCTGTACCAGTTGTAGCTTGTAGTTTCCAGTGTTACAGTTCTGCTTCTTGCTGGTTACTGTAGCTAGTTGATTGACCGCGCGAGGGGGGGGAGGCCCAAACCAGATATTTAGCACCTCCTGGGCGCGTTGTCTGAATTGCTGGGGGGGTTCGAAATCGACACCTCACGCAGATCGGCGGGGTCAGGGTCCAAAAACACAGGGGATTTGCCACATTTCTGAAATTCGGTGCCACCCCTCACGCAGATCCGCGGGGTCAGGGTCCAAAAACACATGGGATTGCCACATTTCTGAAATTCGGTGCCACCCCTCACGCAGATCCGCGGGGTCAGGGTCCAAAAACACATGGGATTTGCCACATTTCTGAAATTCGGTGCCACCCCTCACGCAGATCCGCGGGGTCAGGGTCCAAAAACACAGGGGATTTGCCACATTTCTGAAATTCGGCGCCACCCCTTACGCAGATCCGCGGGGTCAGGGTCCAAAAACACAGGGATTTGCCACATTTCTGAAATTCGGTGCCACCCTTCACGCACATCCATCGCAAGGCGTGGTAACCCAAACTGCGAGAACTCCCTCGGCCCTTTAATCGCAAGGTGTGGTAACCAAGCCCGTAAACCATACACGTCTTACCAATCGCCAGGTGTGGTAACCCCTCTTGTGATCAGTTGGTTTTGCTGATTGCGAATCGGCTTCGCATGAAGTTTCGATACTGCTTCACGACAGCGCCAAGGCCTCATGACTTAGCTCTTCCATGGCCCATTCTCCGAGAGAGGGGGCCGGCGGCAGGGGGCGAAGCCCTTACGGATAACATAGGGAGAACAAGTTTAATAGTATTATTGCGATTGTCTGACGCATCACACATTAATAGTATTGCTAGTTGCCTGACGAGTAACAATACTACTAACATAGAGAAGCATAGAGAGAAACACATTACTATGATTGTCGTTTGTCTGACAAATAGCAATAATAATACACAAATCGTATCACTGAAACAAGTAATGCTGATGATAACAACAAACACCCCCGCGCGAATTTACAGGGCCGCGAGCCGCCTGCCCCAGTCGAAGAGCTGAACGATGGTCGCAGAGCGCACCTCGTCCTGGCGTCGGGGCCACGTCCCCTGCACGTCCCGTTCCGTGCGTGCTCCTCCCCCAGCGGATCCTCCTCCCCCTCCTCCCCCCTCCTCCGCTCCAGGAGGAGGCGGAGGAGAAGGGGGAGGAGGAGGAGGAGGCGGGGGAGGAGGAGGAGGACGACGAGGAGGGGGAGGAGGAGGAGGAGGAGGACGACGACGAGGAGGAGGAGGAGGAGGAGGAGGAGGAGGGAGGAGGAGGAGGAGGAGGAAGAAGAAGAAGAGGACCCCCTATCATCTCTCCTCCCTCCCCCTGGCACGAAAGACGCGGGTCAAACGGTTCCTGGACCCCCCCAGGCTCCAATCCAAGACCAACTTCTCCTCCTGAGCCGTATTTGACTGTCCTGGAGCCCCATCCTCCGTCCTCTCCTCCGCCTCCTCTTCCTCCTCCTTTAAGAAAGCAACCACCGAAACGTTCCTCGACCTCTCCACCATCACGTTCGGTTTCACCGAAACGTTCACCCTCTCTACCATCACGTTCGGTTCCCCCTCCATTGAAACCTTCCCTCTGACATCCTCTGTGTGACAAGATTGCGTCGCCGTGAGAGCAAACCACATACATTCCTGTGAGCACATGCCCGACGAAGTCGACATCCCAAAGAGAACTACGGGCCCGAACCTCTCGAGTTATATGTGTAAGCTACTTGTGATTATTGACTTTTCTGGCCCTGGACACGGCCCAGCTGCATGTGGGCCCGCAGCGCCTGTGCAAACCACAGCGAGTGTGAGCGCTGGCAGCTACGAGCGCCACGCTACCTACGACCGCTGCACCAATACCTCTCAGATACAGAGCAACACTGCGTCCCTGAGAACACCACGCGATACGCACGCATGCTGCGCTGTCCCTCACCAATGCCACAGCGTGCCTGTGAGCACAACAGCATGCCTCTGAATGCCACACTTGCCTGCGAGCGCCACAGGACGTCCGCGGTCGCCACTGGACGAACTCCGTGACGTGATCGGGGGGTGGGGGGAGCGAAGCCGATCAGGAGGAGGAGGAGGAGGAGGAGGAGGAGGAGGAGGAGGAGATGAAGGAGGAGGAGGAGGAGGGAGGAGGAGGAGGAGGGGGAGGGGAGGAGGACAAGCTAGGTGCGCGCGCGTCATATCTGACGTCATACCCCTCCCTCCCATCCCTTACCATGGCGCTGATTTTCTATATCCGCGGACTAGTGGGTGGTGGTGCGCGTGCGTGCGTGCGTGCGTGTGTGCGCGGTTGTGGTGGTGGTGGTGGCGGTGGTGCTGCTGCTGCTGGTGGTGGTGGTGGTGCTGGTGCTGGTGCTGCTGGTGGTGGTGGTGGTGGTGGTGGTGGCGGTGGTGGTGGTAGTGGTGGTGGTGGTGGTGTGTGTGTGCGTGTATGCGCGTGTGCTGTGGCATGGCACGGGAAATGACGCCAGCGCTGCAGCGGGAGCACGAGTCGAAACGGGCGGAAGCGCGGAAATGAGGCCAGCGCTGCAGCGGGAGCACGATTCGGAACGAGCGGAAGCACGGAAATGAGGCCAGCGCTGCAGCGGGAGCACGATTCGGAACGAGCGGGGCCCGAAAATGAGGCCGGCGCCTCTGCGAGAGCAGCATTTTGAAAACAAATGCAGGCGAAAACCCAACTCCCGGGAATCCTGTGTAAAAAAGCAGGACGCGGGGGGGGGGTCGGATACTTTCAGGCCGCCATCGGGGGAAGAGGGAGAGTAGTATTCATATTGAGTAATTGTGGAGGAGGAGGAGGAGGAGGGAGGAGGAGGAGGAGTAGGAGCAGGAGGAGGAGGAGGAGGAGGAGGAGGGGGAGGAGGAGAAGTAAGAGGAGGAGGAGTAGGAAGAGAGGAGGAGGAGGAGGAGGAGGAGGAGGAGGAGGAGGAGGAGGAGGAGGAGGAGGGGAGGAGGAACAAGGAGGGGGAGGAGGAGGAGGAGGAGGAGGAGGAGGAGGAGGAGGAGGAGGAGGAGAGAGGGGAGGGGGAGGAGGAGGAGGGAGGACGAGGAGGGGAGGGGGAGGGAGGAGGAGGAGGAGGAGGAGGAGGAGGAGGAGGAGGAGGAGGATTTTGCCGCTGCGCTACTCTGCCGCGAGTCATCGCGGTCCTCCTGGCGGCCAGCCAGGCAGCCGTCGAGCCCGACACTTGAGACGCTGCCAGCGCAGGATTGTTCCGTGCACGCTGGCCGACCCGCACAAGCAGGCCACGCGACAGGGCCATGCCCCCGTGGCGAGAACACCAGGAGGCTCGCCCGTCGGGCGTCAATCGAATAACCGAACCACGCTGAGAGCATCCACGTCGAGCCAAATAGAGTCGCTCTTCGGGTGCTTGCCAGAGAGGAGACGGTTCCAGTAGGTGGCCGACGAGCGGGGACAGTGCGGCTTACCGTTGCAAACTTGGTTGAGATAGCGCACTTGCCCCCCCGTCGAGAAGGCCTTGCACTTCAGGCAGATGCATAACGCGCTGCCGTCGGAGCAAGACAAAGCAATACATTTGTGGCCAAGTTCTATGAGCTTAGTGTCATAGAGCTTGTGGGTTTGACGACAGATACTGTTGGGGGGCCAACAAGACCTGGTCACCCGCAAACATTGCTTGCACTGCCAGTAGCCGTCCCTATGCACCCAGGAGTGGCGAATCTTGGGAGCGGGCACAACAGGCTCCCGCTGCTCGCGCGTGGCCTGCGACAGATCACACGCGGGCCAGAGCGGAAGCACCCTGGCAGCCAGCACACAAACTTTCTTGGAAATAAAGAGGGCTCGGTCGAGCCACTCGGACTGCTCGGGGCTCGGCTTCTCGTGAGCTAAAGCCCCAAGCTTGGCGTAATGATCGGCCAGGTCGTTCCCAGCCTTACAAAAGCGCAAATGGTCATCCCCCTGGGCCTGCTCTTCGGCCATGTGACCCTTGACCTTAAAAATCTGGCCCATTTTTGAATCAGCCGCCCACGCAAACATACCAGCGTGCACCCGTGTGAAAGACAACTGTTCAGAGCGGGGGAGGGACCAAACCTGTACAACATTCTGACAGTCACTATATCCACATGACGGGTCCAGGGCGTTCTGGCAGGCCGCCGCGCAAGCAGCGAACTCACCAGCCTGAGCCGTTTGCGGGATGGGGAGGGGGAGGGGAGCGTACACATGACCCAACTCTTGCCCAGAATCGGAGACCGAAACGTACGACCACCCCGTCCGCGACAACTCCCGAATGACAGACCTGATGCACGATCCGTCCATAAATATATGACCTTTCACAAAGTAATCATCACGCAAGGGGTCGCTGGCATGATGCACAGTAGGTTCAGCAACGGTAGGGGCTGGAAAGAAATCACCAGGATGAGACATAATCCCCATGGTATACAGAACCTGATCGTGCTTTGATAGGGATGACCAGGCCGGTGGATGGTACTGAAAGTCATCACCTAAAAGCTCGCGGCGCATCTCGGCGCAGGACTCGTGCACGCACTTCCACAACCTGTGGAAAATCGTGTCCTGCTCCTTGCCGCACAGAGGGCAGAGCAGGTCGGGCAAAATGTAGCCGTGCTCTGACGCTCTAACCTTGGTCCACGGAGCCTGACAGACGAGCCCGCGGATACAACCTTTCTCCCAAGACGTGAACTTAGACGAAGCCATAGCTCGGAGCGGCACGTCTAAGCAAGCACGTCGCTCGAGACCAAGGCTGTCACCGTAGGCACGCTCGTGATATCTCAAAACGGCGAGACGCAGCAGACGTTTGAGGAGGGCTGGCGAGACGAGCGTAAGCTGAACCTGCACCCCCAAATCGTCCACCAAGGTCGAGAAAGAAGGCATCTTCCACCCAAGACGCTCCACCGACAGCCTAAGGGCCCCAACAGGGCCCCCAATCTGCCTCCAGGAGGGGGAAGGGCCCGCAAACACGAAACTCCAGGCCCCCCTAAGCTCGGCCAAGCTGAGGCCAAACTCGAAGGAGGCCGTCAGGCTGGCCCAGATCTCTTTGGACCAACGCACAATCGGGGCCACAGAACAATACCACGTGGGGTCGGCGGCGAACAGCAAAGCTGCAGTCAGAGAGCGGCCTCCAGCCGTGGGGCTGAGAAACCGTCCAAGAGAACGCCGCAGACTCGCCAACTCGTGGTCGGAGGTGCCGTGCACCTCACAGCCATAGGTTCTGCTGGCCAAGGGGCCACTCGTATAGATTCGCTTGGCGTGCCTCTCCAACGCATCCCTGTGAATCCTGATCCGATGACATTTGGTGTTGAAGGACGTCTTACGAATCTGAATCTTAGCTCCTCTCCTGGCCGTCCTCCGAGGTTTGCCTGCAGCGTCGTCAATGCCCAGGTCGACAGCAGATGCGCAAGGAGCTCCGCCCACAGCGCCAAGGCCTCGGCGAATCTCCTTAGCCACGAGAGAAGCTGAGGCGACCACAGCCGCCTTGCTAACTGAAATAGAACAGCCTAGATCGGACTCGATGGCCACCTGCAATCGGAACGCGGCTTCGATCAAGTCCTGGACGACGGCCCTGGGAGCCCCCGTGCACGATAAGGTGTAATCATCGATGTAAACTCTCAACGAGACCGATCTAAGGATGCTAAGGCCACCGAAGGCCGCTAGCGTGAAGACGCGAATGAAAGTGGTGGCGAATCCGCACCCAGCTATCAAGCCTCGCCAAGCAAACTGCGGGCCCTCCACGCGGCCGTTCATGGCCATGTAGCGGCACGAGCGGTAGGCCTCGTAGCAGACCCTGGCAATCTGCATGGGAAAGGAATGCGGGCGACAACGAGCAAGGAGCAAGTCGAGGTCCACAGCCTCGTAGAATTTCAGAAGATCCCACAAGACCGACCCAGAACAGTCCTTCGAAGCAACAGCAACCTCGCTCCTCACTCCTTGCCTCCAGACGGTATCGACACTGGAGGCGAACGCGCCAGCGCAGAAGTATTCTCGAGCATTGGCCGCTTCCCACTGCCGAGCAAAGTCTCGCCTGGCGCGGTCCCACAGACGATGCAGAGCAACGAACAATCCGATCGGGCGGTGCCCTCCATCGGGCTTAGCAAGCATGATAAGCAGCACAACTCTCATCTGGCCAGGCAGCAGACCCGAACGTTCCCAGATCGCGATCATGATCGCAAGCACCTGCAGAGCAGGGCCCGACAGATGCTGAAACGACCGAGCGTGGAACCCATCGACAGACGAGGCGGTACGAGCAGGGAAAGAGCGGGCCGCCCGACGAAGATCCTCGACCGTGAGCTCAGGCAGAGGCTCGAGGGGCTCGAAACTAGCGCCAGGTGGGCGCGGCTCGGGAAAAGGTTGGGCGTGCCAGATCCGCGCAAATTTCTCGAGCTCAGACGATAAGAGGGCCCCAGGGTCCGAGACCACCTCACCTTTGGCCGACAGGGTAGTAGAGGGGGTCCACCCCGCAGCTCCACGAATCACCCCGTGGGCGTGACGGGCTCCGTTTTCAATATTATGACGGATCCATTCCAGACAGTTCTTATAATCCTCGTGACGAGACTTGCTCTCAGCCGCCGCCAGGGCCTGGGATACCATATCGAGCACACGTTGGGGTTCCCCCTCAATGTTAGATTGGCTTGGGGGGGCTATAAGTCACAATATCTTGAACAGCCTGGAGGAGAGTCAATGGCTCACCATCCCAGGTGCCCAGTCTCGACGGAGGGTGGAACAGCTCGCCCGCAGTATCTCGCAGGTGTTGCTGCCGACGCTCCTCCGAGCTGGACGCTCTTGTCACGGCGCGGGAGCTATCGCTGACCCCCGCAACGCAAGACCGTTTTTCATCACCGCTATAGGCAAAAGGTGGGGAGGAGAGAGGCACCACCTGACAATCTCGATCTTGACAACCGAGGCCGTGCAGCTGGAGCCAAAGGCGGTAGCGCGAACACAGCCACCTCAAACTGGTAGCCTCACGCGAAGTCCGCGAGATACCCGCCATCGAGCGATGCGACGCGTCGGCGACGTTGACCCAGTGCAGCTGAGCCTGGCGTCCTCTCGTGCCATGAACTGGCAGCTGGGTCTGAAAAACACCCTCGAGCTCCTTTTCAGCAGCCGTACCCCACTCGCGATACAACGCATCAAGGTTGAACTGGGTTCTATCAGTGTCGCCATTCTCGGCCGAAGCAAGGGCTCGGGAGGCCATGCGAGACACTAAATCCCAATCCTTAGATGGTTGGGGCAGGGGACCAGGGGGCCGTTCTTCGGGGAGTGGAGGGGGGCTGCGAAAAGTGAGGGCCCGAAGAGACGCAAGCTGAGGGTGAAGCTTAACCGAGACGGGGTCGTGGGTAGCCAACTCCGAATCCGCGATAATCTTCACGCTCGCAATAGCTTGGGCAACTCTGGCCTCAACCAACATATACTCGTACATCTTCAATCCTCCAGTAGACCTGCAAGTGCCTAGAACACCCGAGGGAACGCAACATTCGGCACCAAGGCGGTCGGGGACCCGCGAGGTGCACAAAGTCGAAGGCTCCATGTTGAAATCACCCCGATCACATAAGGCAACGAGAGGCTCTTGGCTCTCGAAGCAATGCACGCCAGGGTCTCTCGATTGAGATCGTTCAAACCAGCGCAATCCTGCAGGTAAACACCCATAACATAGAAACTGGCCTGACCAGGGAGATGGACTAACACACCCGTGGCTCGATGATTTTTCACCCGTGGCCCAAAATCAGGGTAGTGAAGTCCCAGGAAGGACCGAGCCAGGACCCCGACTCCCGAGGACGGACCCCCTCCAGGTCCCAAAACTCCAGGCTCAAAGTGCACCTTCCAACCGTTTCGAACACACCATGCCTGGGCCTTACGCAGGTCCTCGGCGCTGATGAGCTTGTGCTCCTGACACATGACGACGTGCGCCGCGGTCAAGGCTAAAAACTTCTTGAGGGAACTCCAAGAGGTACAATAAGCCGTGACGAACTCCAATTCGAGATTTTCCCAAGAGGATCCGTCTCGCCGCCAGTGATGTCCCGAAACGCTCGAATCATCCAAAACTGGGCAAGAAGAAGGGATCATGGGGAAGGTGGAGTCCGTCCTGGCTCGATTACCCTGGAGACGGAGCCTTAGCTGCCGCCGCGGCCCTGGGAGCCTGAGCGCCCCTCTGGACCGTCTGGCGGGCAGCAGCTCGCACATCTGCTGGGGCTGCTGGGGGGCCCGCTGCCTTGACTGGCGGAGCGGGCGGAGGCGCCTTGCCTGCGGCAGCCGCCTCAGCCGCTGGGGCTCCACCACCAGCAGTTGCAGGGGCACGCGCAGCCTCACTGTCAGAAGCCGCCGCCGCCGAACCTCCAGCTGCAGTAGGTGCATCTCCAGCAGCTGCAGCTCCAACGGCATTCGCAGCATCACCGCCTTCATCACCCTGGCGACGACGCTTGTGGGCCAGGCGCTCCTGCTGCTCCTTGTGCGCAGTCTTGTGCTCCTCGGCGCGCTGCTTGAGCTCTCCGAACAGCTTCGTGCACGTATCCTTGATGCAGTCGGCCATCTGACTCTTGCGACGCGCTGCCTCCTCCAAGTCTCCTGCAGACACCTCAACATAGTCCTCGAGCCCGAACAAGTTCCCGTCGTCCACCTGCAACCCTGCGAGGCGACCCTCCAGGATGTCGGTGAGGCTGATCGTGGGCAGGGACTGCTGCTGCTGCTGGACCTGGGGCTTGGACACTGTGAGGTGCAGCTCTGCAATGGCCGCCTTATACTCAGCATCGTACTTATCCAGTTCAGCCAAGGTCGACTCCAGCTGGGCACGAAGGGTCTCAAGCTTCTGCTCCACCGGGTGGACAGCTTTGAGGTCCTTGTCCAGCTTCTTCTCGAGCCTAGCGATCTCCTTGTGAGCGGCATCGGCACGCTCCTGAGGTGGAACTGAAGACTCCTTGAGCTTCTGAAGCTCCTGCTGGGCTTGCTGCAGCAGCGCTTGGTTGCCCACTCTCTCGCACAGCTGCACCATCTGCTCCAAGTCAGACTTGCTCGCCGAGGAAGAAGGGGCTGCGGCAACAGCTGCCTTGGTGGCCTGACCAGCGGCGACTCCAGCAGCCTCGCGACGAAGGGCAGCTGGGTCTCCACGTGCCTTGTCCCCCGCAGAGCCGTCGTCGACGGGGGCGTTCCACCACTTCTTGCAATGCTTGCAGTAGCTGTAGTAGCTCTCGTTACGCTTGCACCCGCAATGGCGGCAGGTCCAGCGAGGGCCACGAGCGTTGTCGCCACCGCCAGGCCGAGCCTTGGGCCCCATTGCGCGCGTGCCGTCTTGGGAGTGATACCGCGCCAAAAAGGCCCGCTGTCACCCAGCCGTTCTGAAGTGTCAGTGACAGCAAGCTGAAAGATGCTTGAGCCAAAATGGCTACGGAGGAGAAGGAGGAGGAGGAGAAGGAGGAGGAGGAGGAGGAGGGGGAGGAGGAGGAGGAGGAGGAGGAGGAGGAGGAGGAGGAGGTGGAGGAGGAGGAGGGGAGGCGGGAGGAGGAGGGGGAGGAGGAGGAGGTGGAGGAGGAGGAGGAGGAGGAGGAAGAGGAAGAGGGGGAGGGGGACGGAGGAGGAGGAGGAGGAGGAGAGGAGGAGGAGGAGGAGGAGGAGGAGGAGGAGGAGGAGGAGGAGAGGAGGAGGAGGGAGGAGGCGGAGGAGGAGGAGTAGGAGAGAGGAGGAGGGAAGAGAAGGAGGCGCCGGAGCAGACCATGCCCGCAGACGCCCAGGGATTGTCGGAAGGGGCCCCAGGGCAGGCGGCGGCGGAGAGAGGGCGCCTCGGAGGCGCCCCGCCGCGGCGGCTCGCCCGCGTCGAAGCCCAGGGCCACGGAACTGCCGATCCACTGGCCGCGGGGGGGGGGGGCTCCTCCCCCGCCTCCTCCCCTCCACGCGCTTCTCCTGCGCCCTCCCTGCTCCTCCCTCCCCTTCCCTCCCTCCCGCCCTCTCTGTTCCCCTCCTCCCACGTCTGCTCCGCCTCCTCGTCATCTCTCTCTCTCTCTCTCTGTTTCTCTTCCTCGTCCTCCTCGCCAGGTCCTGGAGGAGAAAGGAAGCGGAAGAGGGGGGGATGGAGGGGGGATGGGGGGCCAGATGGAAGGGCAGAGGAAGCCCTGAGATCTGTGCTTTGCAATTTTGTCGCGCCATGAGTTCTCTCGCGGTCTTGAGCCCCGAGACCATCACGGACCGACTTGGCTCGGGAAACGCCGCAGAGGGGATGTGATCTAGCGTTCCGATTATTATTTCCCGCGATGTTGCCATTTTTGGGCAACGTCGGATCTCACGGAAAAGGAAGGGAGGAAGGGGACTGTTGGGGACTATTGCTTAATCGCGCAGCGATGTGAATCATTTACTTCGCTGCAACCTCACTGTGGGTTGCTGTGCTGCTCTTCTGGGTGCGCTCAGCGGGGTTGGGGGGAGAGGGGTGGGAATACGGGGAGGAGGGGGTGTGGGGGGGGAACAAATGTGGGGGGGGGCACGGGGGGAGACGGGAGGTGAGGACGGACAAGGTGAGAGAAGAGAGAGGACGAGGGACGAGGAGGGAGGAGCGTAGTAGTACAGATGCTGCTGGTAATAACTGTAGCACATGTGGTGTAGCCTTTGTGACTTGTGTTGCTTTGGTTTCCTTGCTTGTGATGTTGCTTGCCAAGACGTTCTCACTGATCGCAGACCCGCGACTGCGATGCCTGCGTGGCAGTTGCTCTCGATTAATTCTAACGTCGCTTGTCTGCTGAATGTGGCAGAAGACCCCTACTTAGAGAAAGGATGGGAAAACGAATAATAGGAATATGGACAACCAAAACGCAGTAGCACAAGACCAACTTAAACAAAGTGTGTGTGTCAGAGAGAACCCTAAGCAGTGGTGGATTCAACCTGTTTCGGTGGCGATCTACGCGGTGCAATCGCTGAGATGCAATGTATATGTGAGATCTACAGAACACAAAATTCGGTAGACAATATGCGGCGTGAAACATGTGCGATGCAATCTGCGAGCGCCACCTACGGGGAGCAATCTTCGTTGCACAACTTAGGTGGCACAAGCTGAGTGGTGCAGTCCACGTGGCGAAGTACGAGAGAAGCAACATACATAGTGCAACATATGCGGCGCAAACTATCTGGCGAAAGCTACGACATGACATCTGCGCGGCGCAATCTACACCATGCAATGGAGAGATTGAACCCGTGAACTCCAAATCTCGCGGAAGACTCCCACTCGCCAACCCGCAATTTGCTGGACACGTGGAGGAGACCGTGGGTGCCATTACAAGTCGAGATTATGGAATCCAGATCTAGCGGGCGCAGTGGCGCGCGGGTCCTCTTCCTTCGCAGATCCACGCCCCGGCAAAGCGAGCGATGACGACGTCAGGCGGAGGATCTGCAAGGAAGCCAGATTTGAATGCAACCCACTTGCCGCCCTGTGCTAGAACAAGACATATCCAAACGCGGCTCAAAACATAGCTTCAAGCTAAAATCGGCATGCCCGCGCACGGGCGCGCGCGCGTGGACAGCATGGGACCCGTTGACCAAACCACCGGGGCAAACGTACAACTTCTACCAGACCGAGTCATGTTATGAATACCTGGTTTGATGCATGCAATGGTGTATGGTAAGAGTCTGGTCCATGGCCTTGTCGCTTGCTGTTGTCAGGTGCTGGATTGTGCTGGTCAGTCATTAATTTGAATTCGTTATTGGTGTCTGGCAGTGGCACCTGTTGTCGGTAATTACCTGGTGTGTGGTGCAGGTGGTTTGGCTGGCGCCTGTCATGAATCTATGTTACACATGCCTACTCTTGAAAAGCGTGTTCGGTGTAGGTTGCTGGTGTATGTTGCCAGTGTAGCTGACTTGCGTGCCTTTGAAGTGTGCCGCGCGTGTCCTTGACGTGAACTGGTGGTGAGCCTCCTGGATGCACAGGGACGCGGGTACCTGGTGTCAGTGATTGAAGCTTGCGGCTTCTGCCCTGCTAAATTCGGCCCAAGGCTGCTCGAAACGGATGTCGGTGGACGCCGTGACGTCGCGACGACTGGTCGGGGCCACGCCGCGACGCCTCCCTGGCGGGACTCGGCGAGGCGGGAGGCTCGGGGACGCCTCGGGACTCCCCGGGGCCTGGCGGGCGCGGTGTGCAGGGCCGGCGAGGCGGGCGCCCCAGGGACCACCCAAGACACGCGGGGACTCGCGGCAGCGGCACGCTGGGCTGCTCAGGGGCCACCGTGTCGCCCCGCGGCTGCGGCATGCCGGGTCGGCGAGGCGAGGCCAGGAGCCGGGCCCGTCGGGCGGGGAGGAGGCGGCGAGAGGAGCCGGGCCCGAGCCTGACGGACTCGGGCCAGGGAGGCAGGACACGGTGACTCCTCCGCCTCCCCCCGCGTGCCTCCTTTCAGGATGCGCTACGTCGGGCATGTCGGGATGGCCTCACACCGATCGATTCATCCCCACCACTCCCACACCACCATGGGCCCCCTCCAACCCTTGATGAACTGTTGATACACGGAAATCCTCCTGCAGATCCTCCTCCTCACCCTTCCTCTGCTCCCTCGTCGCTCACAGGGGTATGCGACGTTTTGCGGCCAGATACACTCCAGAACTTTAGATGACAGCAGAGACGTCCCGGGGTTCCTCCTGTGGGACACAGCAGCGCTGCGCCTGTGCTGCGCTTTGATGCTTGACAAGTCTGTTCCTTCCTGACAAGTAGAAGAGGCGCGCAACAGGTGCAGTTCCACCGTCAAGTCAAGTAGGAATGCTGTAGCCTTTGCTCTGTTTCGTCGCCGCGCCCTGAGACGCTAAGCTGTTCCCGCCAGACTATGTGAAAAGGCTAAGCTTGGTCAGGGCAGCCTAGACCATATGAAGCTAAGCTTTTTCAGAGCAACCTAGACCATATGAATATTCAAATTCGGTATTGTCATCATCCTCCTCTTGCCTGCTTGTCCCCATCGCCCGTCTACGTGTTCTGCATCTCGTCTCCAATGCGGGCCCGAATCCCACTTCCCCTGTGGAATCGGATGCACACGGTGGTCTGTGAGACAACCTGCCTTCCACTGTTGGCACTTCCCCTGTAGTACTGACTGCCCGATCCCACCAGCCTTCTCGGCGTAGGTGGTTTAATGAGTAGTTGCTCCAAACTAAGTTTTCCTTTGCAGGGAGGGTGTCATCCCTCCCCCGTGCTCCCGAGGGGGGTTGCCGCGAGGTGCCAGAGGGCCCTTTTCGGCCCAGGATGCTCCAGGAAGGCTCCAAGCAGCCCGAGGCAGCCTCGGAGATGGCTCAAGATCAGACAGCCGAAGATGGCTGCAGACAACCTCCAGCATGCCTCCAAGAGGCCTCAAAGCTGCCCCAAGATGGCTCCACGTGGCCACCGAGTCTCTGAATGAGGCCCCTGGGACGCAAAAATCCTCCCCGAAGCCTACAGGAAGCACGTGTATGTCGCATTTTCACTTTTCCGCGTCCACTTTGCGTTTGAAACATCAAGATGTCGCCGAGATCGCCCATGGTAGCTTCAAGAGGACTACGTAAGAACCCCCCTTTCCTTGATCGATGACTTCTAATATAGCCCCAAGAACGCCCCTAAGACCCCCCAGAGGGGCCAAAGAGGTCCCAAGAGGGGCCCAAGAGCGCCCCAACGGCTTCCACAATTGCCCCAAGATGGTTTCCATTGCTGAGCTGGCCGTTGCTTCACTACATGCTTACCCACGCTCCTGCTCCAGAGAACTCCCCTGGGAATCGCATCTGGAGCATCAGTAATTCCGATATGGCCTCGAGTGTCCAATTGCTCGAAGATCGTTCAGGGACACCGCTTCGGAGAGCCGTCCACAAAGACACGGTCTTCATCTCAAACCGTGTCTTCGCATCGCGCCCACTTCCCCTGTGGTCCCGGCACCCTGAGCAACGGGCAAGCCGGCGTCGCGCCTTCTGGGGGACGGGAGCCTGCCGGCAAGCGATGGCGAGGTAGGCCAGGCGGTGCACGATCTGGGCGCGCCGGAGGCGGACCCGGGGCCGAAGGGACGAGTGGGAAGACGGGCAAGAGCTCGAGGAGGACGAGACGTATAGAAGCACGGGGAGGAGCGCGCGAGGACCAACGCGCACTCTGCAAGGCCCACGCCCACATCAGGCGAGCACGCACGTGTGCGCGCGCACGTGCGCCCGCAGGCCGCAGGTGCACCCCCGCCAACGCACGCATGTCCTCGTACGACGTCCGCGCGCACGTCCCTCGTCCACGGGCGCACTTGCGCACGCGTTCGCCAGTGACCGCCCCGAGTTACGCCAACACCCTCCATGGCGCGCAGAGCGCGCCAGGGGCGGCGCCGGAGGCGCCGCCGGGGGGCCCCAGCGCCGATCCGAGAAATCCGCGCGGACCTCCGAGTGTTTATTTTCATGCCACTTCTGGTTCCCCTACATCAGAACGAGGAGGGGAAGCGACAAGATAGGCAACGGCGGGGAGAGCGGCAGCGCTACTCAGCCGCCACCGATCCTCCCACAGCTGCACCTGCGCCCGGCGGGGCGAGCAACCACGGGCCCGGTCGGCCCGCGCCCCAGCGACCCGGGAGGGGGAGCGGCAGGGACCGAGCCGGAGCACGCGTGAGAGCCAGATGGCCGGCCCCTGGGCCCCTCGGGGGCATGGCAAGAATGTCACTAGGGGAACAAAAAATGACATTAAAAAAAGACTCTCCATCCCGGGTCGCTGGGGCGCGGGCCGACCGGGCCCGTGGTTGCTCGCCCCGCCGGGCGCAGGTGCAGCTGTGGGAGGATCGGTGGCGGCTGAGTAGCGCTGCCGCTCTCCCCGCCGTTGCCTATCTTGTCGCTTCCCCTCCTCGTCCTGATGTAGGGGAACGAACAAACAACGATATAAACATAACATCTCGGAGGTCCGCGCGGATTTCTCGGATCGGCGCTGGGACCCTGGGGCGGCGCCTCCGGCGCCGCCCTTGGCGCGCTCCGCGCGCCAGGGAGGGGGGTCCAGTGCCGATCCGAGAAATCCGCGCGCGCCTCCGACTTTACATGTTTATGCCACTTCTTGTTCCCCTAGTCACCGCCATCGCAAGACACCCGGGACGGGGATCCACCAAGATGAGCTGCAGAGGTCAGTTGCCGGCACGACCCAGGAGACGGCTTCAGCACAGCACCGGACACGGGAGGGCCATCGGCCATGCCGGGCCAGGCAGGCTACAACACTGGCAAGGCACCTGGAGACGCCATCAATATGGCGGCCGTGGGCCCACTACAGTCAAAACCTGTGGTCAGGACGCGCTTTAAGAACGCAAGATCCTTGGACGGTCCTTGGACGCCCCAGTTGCAGCTTTTCTAACGGCGCACTGCCGAACAAATCGAAGGACGCAAGTGTGCCTTTTGGGAAGGTTGCCCGTCCTTACTGTGGATTTTCATTGTATGACAGGCAGCTGCGGCTAGCATGACGTGACCACGGACACACGAACACACGCCCACACACACACAAACACACGCACACGCACACTCACAGAAACACACACACACACGTGCATGTGCACAGAACATTAGAGCCAATTACACGACACAAATATAACAAACGCAACCTCTCAACTACTCCTTCAGAAAAGTTGGACACGCCGTCGACACATGCGCCGGAAAGCCTCAACGGCCACCCCTACGACACAGACATCTGCGCTTAAGGTCAATCCCTGCACAACGGCGACGACATCGGCTTTGACGCCAGCAGTGTGGTGATCGGAGGCGACGACGAGAACGAAGAGGACGACGAGGACCTGCAGTAACGGCGGCTTGGAGGATGATGCGGAAGAAATGGCGACTGTACCCTCGCCCAAGTTAAAAACAATTAAAATTCGATTGCGAGTAAGCAAATCCCACCGGCTTCTCGCCCTCGGCAGCCCGATCCTTCTGCTCCTCCTCCTCCACCACGGGCCATGCATAGCAGGATGGCGTGCTGCACGCAGAGCCATACGGGGGGACAAGGAACGTGAGAGCGAGGGCAGCGGACGATGAGGAGACAAGAAGAAGCGGACAAGGAGAAGTAGGGGAAGGAGGGGGGAAGAGGACAAGCAGCGGCAAGAAGAGCTGCAAGGGGAGCAGCAGGAGGGTGAGGAGCAACGGAAGGGGAACGACAATCGGGGGCGCGCAAGCTTGGATTAGCGACCCATGGATTTGGCACGCGGTCGCCAAATCCATGGATCGGGGGAAGCCCTCCCCAAAATGCGGCCGGTGCCGCCTCGCTCGGCGGCGGAAATCCACAATTCCCAATGGAAACGTAACCCGTCGCTAATCCACGCCCCCTTGATCCATGTTTGCGATCGCCTGAGACCAAGAAAGATGGAAAGCGGAAAAGGAAGAGCAACACAAGGAAGTTCCGTGTGAACCCTGCGTGCAAGCCCAAAGGGCCCCTACGGAACGTGCGCCCAAGGTGAAGAAGCGCGGCCAACCCCCGCCCCGCGACACCGAGGCCCCGCAAAAGCGACAACATGGCCCGCTAACAACAAACAGCGCACAATCATCCCGAGGACCAGGCAGGGCTGGACCAACTAAACCTTGTTTTTCGTTGTGGTTTCGTTTTGTTGTTCGTTTTGCTCTACCTTATTTTTCCTGCACCTCCCTGCCAAAACGAAAAATGATTCGACGCGTAGATCCCCAGATGTGCATCTCATAGTGATGACATGCTTCGGCAGAAGGCATTGTCCTTTCCAACATCGGAATGTCAGCGAATTCATGTAGACGAAGCCGAGAGAGACGCCGACGACTTCGACGACTTGAACTAGTTGCTTCCTCCTTCTTTCCTCTTCCTCCTCCTCCTCATTGTCCTCCTCCTCTTTCTTCTTCTTTTCCTCTGAACACCTGTTAGGGCGCCGGAAGCTGCTCCGAAAAAGAAGGATGTTGAGCGCCCCCCCTTGGGAAGGCTGAAACCAGCGCCTCGCCTGAGACATCCTCGGAAACTGCTCCGAAAGAGAAGGATGTTGAGCACCCAAACCGGCAAACCGCCTGAGACATCCGCCCAATCTGGGCGCGAACGGGCCCGTGAGATACCCCCTGGCGCCCCCCCTTGGGAAGGCTGAAACCAGCGCCTCGCCTGAGACGTTCTCGGAAACTGCTCCGAAAGAGAAGGATGTTGAGCACCCAAACCGGCAAACCGCCTGAGACATCCGCCCAATCTGGGCGCGAACGGGCCCGTGAGATACCCCCTGGCGCCCCCCCTTGGGAAGGCTGAAACCAGCGCCTCGCCTGAGACGTTCTCGGAAACTGCTCCGAAAGAGAAGGATGTTGAGCACCCAAACCGGCAAACCGCCTGAGACATCCGCCCAATCTGGGCGCGAACGGGCCCGTGAGATACCCCCTGGCGCCCCCCCTTGGGAAGGCTGAAACCAGCGCCTCGCCTGAGACATCCTCAGAAACTGCTCCGAAAAAAAAGGATGCTGAGCACCGAAACCGGCAAACCGCCTGAGACTTCTCCCCAATCTGGGCGCGAACGGGCCCGTGAGATACCCCCTGGCGGCCCCCCTTGGGACTGTTGAAACCAGCGCCTCGCCTGAGACATCATCACACCGTGTGTTTGAGTCTGAGCGCGGAAGTGGTGTGGCTGAGTCTGAGCGAGGAAGAGCGAGGCAGAGTATGAGTGAGTCTTAGTGTGAGTGAGTCTGGGTGTGAGTGAGTCTGAGTATGAGTATGCGTGAGTGTGGGTGTGAGTGTGTGTGTGAGACCTGAGTATGATGAACCCTGAGTCTGAGAAGCGACTCGAAGTGCGAGTGAGTCTGTATATGAATGATCCCGATCATGAGAAACCTAAGTATCATTACTCTCAGGGCGAATGCATATGAGTATGAGTGAGTCTGAATATGAGTGATCTACATGTGAGTGAGTCAGACAATGATGACATGAGGGCGGCAGGTGTGTTCTCGTTATCCGCGCGGTCAAAGTAATAACAATAACCCCATCCATAGGATATGGGGAACAAAACCCAGCCGAAGTCCAGCACAACAGCATTTAGGTCCAGCCCTGGGACAAGGTGGATACGGCCGTGCTTGATAGGGAAGGACACGCGAGAAGACGCAAGACCTGACGCACAGGACAACACTAGGGCACCCTGAATTTGCAAGAGCCGACCTCCAAATCGAACGCTACTGCACTGGGAGACTCAAAGATACAGATGCCACTACTACTCCATGGACATCTCCCTGGGCGCGGCCTGATCAGGACCTCCAGGCGAATCCAGCCGTGGCAGGGAGGGCCTCCCGGGAGGCCCGAAAGGCGGACACGACGCAAAGGCAACGGAATCGGTACACGTTCTATCGCGGATCCTTCTGACCCGGGGCAATCCAAGCCCGGGTCAGTCAGGCCTTGCAGAATCCTGCGAGACCCTGCAGGATCCTGCACCCAAACCCGGGTCAGTGCGAAGGATCCTGAAAAATCCTGCAGGATCCTGCACCCAAACCCGGGTCAACGCCACCCTGGCCCTGCAGCAATCTGCAAGATCAGGCGCTCTGGCTGACCCCCGTTTGCATTGACCCCCGTCTCTTGAGCCCCGATTCTAGGAGAGAACAGATCCTTTGGAGGTCCGCGCGGATTTCTTGTATCCGCGCTAGGCCTTCCCTGTCGCGCGGAGCGCGCCAGTGGCGGCGCCAGAGGCGCCGCCAGCGGGACCACGGCGCCGATCCAAGATACCTGTCCAGATCAGAGCCCCGAGTCATCAGGACTGGGGGCAGTCAGGGGTAGATCGATCAGATTCGCGCCTCGGGGTTCCAAACAGAAGTCACCCCGTGCCGCCACTGCCCCGGATGTTTTGGGCTCCACGGCCCTCGCGAATCGTCGGGGCTGGGGGCAGCAGCTGTGATCGATGTATTCCTCTGAGTGCTTCTTCCCTCCGAAGCTCGAAGGACAGAGGTACCTGCGCCCGAGGGGAGGAGGAGCATCGACGAAGAACGCTGCTGCATCCGAAGGGAACTCAGAACTGGTGGTACTTCTTCTCTTCGAATTCGAGGGGAAGAAGCACT